GTTTATTTTTAGATCTTATTTTCTTGTTGACTTCAATAGGATTATATTTAATTGGTTCATATCTTGTTGATCAAAAATTAAATAGAAGCTCCCCAAAAATTGAATAAAATAAATTTTCTCAACTTCAAGATACAGAAAATAACTATGCTGGAGAATAAAGCATGATTTTTTGGCATAAAAAGTAGTTCAAAAATCAAAGAAACAGCAAAAGTCTTCCTGAACACGGCAAAAATGATGGCAATAACTCTAAAAAATGGAGCAAAAAGTAGCCATTTGTGGGTTATGAATTACTGAATGAATGAACAGAACACTTTATTTGCCGCTTTTCAGCATTAACAAGGTCAACCAAATATTCCTTTATTGCTTTCCCATAGAATAACTTTTAAAAACTGATTAAAAAATGAAAGCGGGTTTTCTTCATCATTTGAAGTTTACTCGAGTGACTTGCTGCATTCCAAGCACCTTATGTAAAAATTAATTTAGAGCACAAGGTCTTCAGCTTGTTTCTGTATGAGGTTTAGTTGAATGAACAAGTTAGAGAGAATCTTTGATGAGAAATCATATAAGGCCAACCATTTATCTTGATCCTTTTAAGATTTCAGAAAGGGTCTCTTCATTGAATTCCAATACATGTAAATTACTGTATAGTGAATTTATGATGCCATTTTTTAATTTTTTTAATTTTAAAAGCTAAATTTTTTCTAGAGATGCCAAAAATGTAAACGTTCAGTTTTGTCTCCAGACATTTTCTATCAAGTGTCCGTATCTTGAGACATTGTCCAGATTTTGTGGCAACACTGCTTTTCACATCAGTGTTACCCAACACAAGATTTTTGCCGGCCCGCAGGAAATTTTCTCAAGCATAATAAATTCATCAAAACTAACAATGAAAGACATTACAGTATCTTTAACTGAATTTTTTGCAAGGCAATTTCAGTTGAAATTATCTCATGAAAAATAAAAGTTAGATTTCTCTTTATAACACTTGAGACAAATTGCTTTACTTTACTTGCCTCATTGGTTCTCAACTTAATTTTTTCTTTTGCGAGAAAACAAACTTTTTCAATACCTGCCATAAAGTATTTCAGGCAACACTTTTTTTGAGTGTGCAAAAACGTTGCTGGTCTGCAGAATATTTTTGTTCTGCAGAAAATTCCCCAACCCAAAAAAGGTTGGGGAACACTGTTATGTGATCATGATAATTTCACATATGACTAATTTTTCTGTAAATTTGAATCTTCACTTGTGAGGTTAGTCAGCGGAAAAAAAGGATTGCACAAACACAACTTTTCTCAACCGCCACCAAGTCGAATATTTTAAAACTTACATTTTTTTTCTGAGATAAAGAATAGAGGGACAGAAACAGTTGCGTCATCCTATAGTGATGATGCAACCCACTCCTGGTCACCATCAACCGCCTGCTTCTGGGAAAGAACAAGATAAATAGGAAGCGAAACCCGTATTTTACAATGGGTTCTCTCTTACCTGGCCCTGTTTCAACCCACCTGCTTGACTGGGAAATTAAGGAACCGGTTAAAATTATCGCGTGCATGTAATCAAAAAAACCTATTCACGTTTTTTTTTTCTCGAAGGCTCGAAGAGCCGATCATTCATAGATTTATTCTATTTAAAATTCATACGCGAAGAAGTTTTTAATCAATTACTTTTTTCTTCGTTAGTGTAGGAAAGTTGTATCAAAAATTTTAAGATTTATGCCAAGGTAACACGAAGTCAAGATATCTGCTGTCTGGGAAACCTTGGGTGTATGATTGAAAAATATTTCTCTCGAGTGCAAATATAATTCGCATTTTATTTCAATTTTCCCAGCGAAAATATGTAAGATTTAATTTTTCGAGGAAGTTCCAAGCCCGACAACCTGGCCGAATTTTTGGCGAAACTGGAGTCGAGTCAAATCCAAAGTAAATTTACATCCATTGAAAGGCTAGAAGAATATTCAATCAATATTTTACTTTTAATATAGACGAAGAAACACGTTCAATTCCAAAAAGGAAAACGAAGAAAATTCTGGGAATTATGATTTCTGCAATTTGTGCATTTTTTCAGTTCGTTTCCATACGAGGGCGGTTTTTTTTTGTTCTCTAGTGTTTGGTTAAAGTTTACAAATTATTTCAAAATTGAAAATTTTAATCCAGTAGTCGAGTCGAATCCAAAGCAAATTTACATCCATTGAAACGCGAGAAGAATTATCCAATCGATATTTTGCTTTTGATAGACGAAGAAACACGATAAATTACAAAAGAAAAACTAAGAAAATTCTGGGAATTATGATTTCTGCAATTTGTGCATTTTTTTCAGTTCGTTTCCGTTCGAGGGCTTTTTTTTCTCTAGCGTTTGGTTAAAGTTTACGAATTATTTCAAAATTGAAAATTTTAATCCCGTAGTCGAGTCAAATCCAAAGCAAATTTACATCCATTGAAACGCGAGAAGAAATATTCAATCGGTATTTTGCTTTTGATAGACGAAGAAACACGATAAATTACAAAAGGAAAACGAAGAAAATTCTGGTAATTATGATTTTTGCAATTTGCGCATTTTTTTCAGTACGTTTCCGTTCGAGGGCCGTTTTTTTTCTCTCTAGCGTTTGGTTCAAGTTTACAAATTATTTCAAAAAATTTAAAATGTTTTCCCCATTGTCTTCGTCACGACGCAGAAAGAAAAGCTAATCATTCATTATCTCGGAAGCAGCTAATGAGAGGACATCCCACCAATCAACATATTTTCCGGCAAATAATTAGTCACTGACCTCCGTCATCATCATCGTCGTCACTTTCACAAGAGAAAAAAAAATAATAAGGGGCACCTCGCGAACTTAATTCACCGGGATCATCAGGAAGTAGAACCCGGAGATTGTTACAGGTTTCCTTATCTCTGATTGATGTCCAAGCTCGTGACAATTATCACGTTGCCCCTTTTAATTAATCGGGAGCACTTTAAATGAGACACCACCACGGGAGAGACGTGACCTATAAGGAAAAAAAGGGGGGTTTGGAAACCCGATTTGTATGGGGTTTTCTTTCGCAATGGATCTTTTTCTGTGATTATTCTTTCTTTCCACTGTCGGGGGGGGGGGGGGTTCTTCTTATCTTGACTGTTGAGTGATTGAGCCTTTTTGGGCCCAAGACAGGGAAGTACTCGGTTTAAGTTCCACGAACCTTACGTCGTTCAGTGAGCTCATTTGAAGTTTACTACTTCTTTTGGGCGAAAGTAAAAAATTAGTCAAAAATTTTCAATAAGATACCCTTTCGTTATTTCCTTATAAACCAACTGGAAACACTTGTCTCATTAATATTCATGCCCCTACTGCAGCAGAATCCTGTTTAAACAAACGTCTCAAATTTATTGAGGTCTTTGGCTACTATTTTGAGGACCAAAAAAATTATGAAGAATAAATAAAGTTGTAACTTGATGCCTTTGAAAAAAAGTTGAGAAAATGAGTCACTCAAGCTCACAGAACAAAAAGTAGATTCAGGGTTTCAAAAAACTCCATAAAATGACTATAAAGAATCTTATGAAAGTCATATTAGTACTACAATTAACGTAACGTTGATTCTCTTTTTTCTTCAAGTTCTTGAACCTGAGTACGATCGTTGTGACAAAAGAATTTTATAATAAATACAGTCCCTAAATTTGCCACAAAAATTGATGAAAGGGATTGGAAAATCTACTCATGCAGTTTCAGAGCAATTTTCCTCAACACAAGTGAAACCTTACAATAAAATATTGTACTAAGGAATTCTGAGTACTGTAGTAAAAATGCTGACTTACCATATATTTCTTCTGAAATTTGAGATTTTTTTGTGTTAAATTCAAGTTCTTATGGCAGTATGATGACATTATCATGCTTGAAAACAGTTTTGCTTCAGAATACAGCAAAGCTGGGAATTATGTAATAATATGGTTGGTACCTTGCAATTTGACCTCCTGCAATTCAGCCATCCTACAATTCAATGGTCAAATTTGCAGAGAGATTGACTTGCAATTCAACCCTTGCCCAAGAATTTGACCTGCTTTGGCAATTTTTTTTGCACTTTTCAACTTATATTTTTAAATTTCACCCACAGAACGTTAAACTGGTTAAACTTTAACTTGGGATCAGACCGTTGTCTAATACCAGTTTAACGTTCTAACTTTGGACAAGTCAAATTAATTAGTAATATTATAAATACTTCATACGACTAACATAAATATGAGTTAGACATTTTTCTACATGTCTGTACATTATAAGTTAATTTGTGAAGTGTCAAGAATAAGAACTGTTTCAATGATGCTCCTCATTGGGCCCAGAAAATTTATAAATTGTTATGTACAGTAATTAAAACATGATATTTTTAAACTCTTTGAAATATTATTTGAGTGAAGATACAAATGGAGAGGCTGTTTTTTTTTGGAAATCATCAAAGAGTGCCAAAGGAATACTGTACATAAGAATTTTTCGAATTGGCCTTTACTATTCAAAGGACTTTAGTATCTATACTTTCTCTTATTTTTGGAGCACTTTTACCTTGAAACTTCAAGCAAACCTCAGTGGCAGCAGTATCATTTTTTTTCCCCCATCATCTTCTCCCCACTGACCTCACTTCGCTTCCCGGTGGATTGTATTCCATTTCTTCCAACACTATCACCTTTATAGTTATTTATTTCCTTTCTTTTTCCCCCCCATCACAAATCCTGAATACCTTGGGGGGCAAAACCAAAAAAAAAAAAAAAGATTAAGTCATCCAACCGTCCTGTCTGGGTGGTGACTCACGCTTTCCCCCTCTGACTCATATGAGAGAACAGAATGTTTCTCTTTTTTATTTTTATATTCATCTTATATTTATTTCTGTAAGCCATGTGGACATTGTAAAGCGGAAATGGATACGAGAGCGAAGTTCATGCTTCCTGGGGAGAGGCACGCGCAAGCGCTGGGATAATCGTTTCCTCCCGCCTAGTTCCGGTACCATTTCCTCTCACAGAATTTTACTTCCTTTTTTCTGTTGATGGTTTATATAATGGGGGGGAATGGAGAGACTCTGTCCATTAACTTTGTTGACAGTTTTGTTGCGCAATTTCCCGCCATTGTGGCGGGAAGGAGGACGAGTGATATTGCGATGCAGTGGCTAAGTGTTCCACTATACTGTATATTTATTTTTTTTTTGTGTTGGTGAATTGATGTTTTTTTTTCTTTCATGGAACACTACAGGGTCACCTGAGGTAATGGGTGTCTGGTTTTTTTGAAGTTTTATTTTTCTATTTATGGAAACGTTACAGTGGAGACTTTTGAAGAGTATCAATTTCATGCTGGTTCTCCTCCACAAGTAAAAATTTTAATTTTTTTTTTGCTTTAAAGTTTTGACAAAAATTGATATCAAAATTCAATAAATTCAAATATATGTAGGTCTGTCCCAAATCTGGTTATTGAGAGCAGTGAAGGACCAATATCCATTTAGAAGCAACTCTCATGTTGGTACTGAGTACATTTTAATAAATTGTGATGTTGGGCAAAAATTTTGAAAAATTTATTTAAACCAGAATAAAATTGGTTTCTTAGTTTCTATATACAATACAGGGAAAGAATTGTGCAGGAGAAACCCCTGCTAAATGTGTCTTTTTGCTGAATGTACCTCAACAGGAGTCCAGAAGGAAGAAACAAGCATACATATTGATAATAATCTGCAAAATTGTTGAACAAATCACCCCCCCCCCCAATGAAAAGGGAAATACTAAATTAGCCTTTTATGGAAAAATCATCAGATATTTTTCAATGAAAATATGTTTTGCAGTTTTTTTTTTGTCTACAGCTGTAGCTCAATTTTTTAAAGAGATACAGTGAAATTTTGTTACAGTGAAGCTGTTGGGAACTGGAAAAAGCTTTTTGATAACAAGACATTTCTTATGATCCAATTTTATTGAAATTATTTATCTTTAGCTGTAGCTCAATTTTTTAAAGAGATACAGTGAAATTTTGTTACAGTGAAGCTGTTGGGAACTGGAAAAAGCTTTTTGATAACAAGACATTTCTTATGATCCAATTTTATTGAAATTATTTATCTTAGCAGTATGTGTGCAGTTTTTTCTGAATGATTGGATGCATGAACAGGGGTTGTCCATGAAAAAAAATGAAGATTCTGTTCAAAATGACAGTCAGTGCAATTTATAATGCAAGCTTTTGATCATTTTCATTTTTGTGTTTTTTAAAATGTCATGCTGCTGTGGAAATAACAAACAGCAAGTGAAAATACAGCATAGGACCATTCATCAATTTTCAGTCCTCCCCAAAAAAAAGTACCACAAATCAAGTGATATCCACAAAAAATCTTGAGGCACACTTTCAAGGCTTTTTCAACCCAGTAATCATAATGCAAATGTGTTCACAGCTTTAAACAAAAAATCCATTGTGCAGCGTGTGAAGAAAAATATTCTTGAGTAGAGACAATATCCTTCAAAAGCTCTCATCACTTGAAGGTCGGAATACAAAGATGGAAAGCCAGCAGACTGAATATAATCGAATTCGATGGGAAGAAGTCAAGCTTTTGATATACACTTCTACAGTATGGTACTGTATTTCATGATAGGTTGAAAAGTATTAAAAATTTTGATGGGATGAAGCAACTTCGCGGTTTTTTGCTGCAATCACATGAAAGGTTACTCAAAAATCAATTTACATATTATTACGAGGATAATCTCTAATGCAGGACCTCATATCTTGGAAACTCATTTTGTGGACAATTTTTGCTGTACTGTACAGTATTCTGCTGAATACAGTAATTGATATTTTTCTGATGTAGCCAGAAAAAACTCGGGTTCAAAAATAATCATTGCTGATTTTAGGGAGAAAAAAAACACTTCAGAATGATCTTGTTACAGAACATTTTTTAGGGTTCCTGGAAATTTTCCATCAACAAAATTTCACATGTACAGTACAATAATTTGAAGTATTTGTTTTAAATCAATATTTTCAATTAACAAAAGGAATAAAACGTTTTTTGCTGTGGTATTCTTTTGACCACTCTTCAAAGAAGCATTTCTCCATTTGAAAGAGGGAAGGATACAACAAATTATTGGAGTCTTCAAAATCGTATTTATTTGAAGTCAGTTTCCACTTTCCAACGCATTTTAATGCAATTTGTTTTAATAATGAATACAATGCTCATAATAATGCAAGTCACGACTCACGAACTAAAGTTACCCTCTGGATATTTCGTAATGTCGCGTATCCTCAACGTNATTCGTTGCGCGAAACCGATCCACATTCCCCCGAAATCATGAAAATATTTCATTTGTGAAGGTTGGCCAACTTCTTGAAGCCTGGCTCAGTCAAGAAGATCAACAACACGACGATGGCCTTCAAGTGTATGGAGAACATCGGGGCCTTCTTGCAAGTCGCCGCTGGTTGCGGGGTTCCTTCCACCGAACTCTTCCAAACAGTTGATTTGTGGGAACGTCAGAATTTGAACATGGTCGTCATCTGTTTGCAATCTCTCGGACGAAAGGTCAGTTAACTTTATATATTAATCCATTCAGTACGAATGAAGTGATCAAGGACTCAGTGCATGAGATTGCGTACGCTCCAACGCCATCTCGAAAGAAATGATCGTTGCAGTAATCCCCCATCATAAATGGATATCGGGGATCAGATTTTGTCCCAGTTGTGTCAAGGATCTATTTGAAAGTGTATTGAGCAAATCTTCTTCTCAGGATCGTTCCTTGTACAGTATTTCAAGATAGATGTGCAAAGCGCCCGATCGAAAAACCGTACCGATTCGAACCCGAGCCCGTGAGCATTACCGATCTAAAGTTTAATTCATTAAATTTTTATCATTATGCTTCTTGGAAATACTGTACATCTTCTATCTACTTCCGAAATGACGGTATGCACGAGAAAACTGTAGAAGTTAGGATGAGAGAGTTGATCACGTTATTCCGTTAGACTGTTGGTTGATTGTCGGGTTCCTTTTTTGTTTCACAATTAAAATTAAGAAGTATCTTACGGAGTGAATAATGGTGATATTATTTCATCTCAGGGAGCTCAGTTCAACTGTCCTTCCATCGGACCCAAGGAGTCCGACAAGAACGTTCGCAACTTCACTGAAGAATACAATGCTCATAATAATGCAAGTCACGACTCACGAACTAAAGTTACCCTCTGGATATTTCGTAATGTCGCGTATCCTCAACGTTTGTGGGACATTTGTATTTGCGTTAGGTTTTTTTTTTCTTCGAAATTTTTTTTTTCGAATTTGAGGTATACTCATGTTTCAGAAGCAGGAGCTATAGTAATCATTTCAAATTTGCTCATGACAAAATTCTCTCTTGTAGAACTTCACAAGAAATATTCAATGCTAAAAAATGTGTTGCAAAAATATAAATTTCAACTTGAAGATATTTTTTCTCCAGAAAATACCAGTGTCTTGTTTCAAGCAATCGCAATTAAAAACATTTGGTCACATTGGTTTGTCAAGGATGAAATGAATTTCATTTTATGACATCTGCAAACGTCTGTAGTTGCTTCTCAAAGACTAATATTTTATTTTATATTTGAACTCTTGTGCTTCTCTACTTATAACTGTAATTTTGCTGAAACTGTTCTTGGTTTTGCAAAACGAAGTCAGGCTTCTACAAGTAAAATTTGAAATGCCATAAAAAATAAATCAGAGTTCTTGATGAAATTAGGCTTCGTTTTGCATAGTTTAATATGTGAACATTATTTTAAGCTCAAATTTTGATAACTTCATTATTCATGGATTTCCTGTCTGAATGAAGATGCCAACTCACTTGTGGAAAGTATGAAAAATTATTCGCGCGTGTTTTTTTTTGTGAAACAGGTGTCATAAAATGCAGCTCGCTACTTTTTGACAGCAAAAAGACATTCAAAATTAGACTAAGAAAGGTTCTACCTAGAAATTGGTCTGGGATTAACCAGACATTCCAATGAGGGAGGTCTTTGCATTAAGGAGGTTCTACTTGGCATGGTCCAACTGTATTTAGAAATCTGTTTAAGAGTAATATTTTTATTGAATTTCTATCACTGCATTATAGCAGATGAAATTTTAAAAAAAATAAATAAAAATACGCTTGAGAAAAAGAAAATTTAGAAGATACAGTATTAAAAATTACTGATGCCCACGAAGGCGAAGAATATCCTCAGCTGGGTTCTGAATGATGTGGGGAACTTATAAAAATAATTGTTATGTGTGTGTCTGTCTGTCGGATGACCTCCCGACAGACCGGAATACAATCACGCGAGGTCATCTTCACGTATTCAAAACCGGAAGACGATGACATGACGTCGACATTTCCTTTTTCTCTCTTTTTTTTCTCACACTACTTATTAAAGAAATTATTTCACAAGTAAAAAATGCGTGTGCTTGTTCTTCGCGTGACCGCATTCGAACCAAGAGGAGGAATTCGTGAATCTTCACATTTTTTTTATTCCACTTTCTTTAATTTGAAAATCACGTGCGCGGAGAAACAAAATGGGTCTGTTGTTCTCAGGCTGATGAGAGCACGAACAAAATCACTGCGCCATTTGGTTTATACTTTCGTAAATTTTCTGCCGTGATTTTTCATTTTGATTTTTGTTGTGCGAAAAATTCTCATGCATCTTCGAACTGAAACGTCGAATAGGATTGGATTTCCTTAGTTACCCTCACGAAAATATTTTATGAAGAGTTTTTAGCTGGTGACGTTTTTCCATTTGTAAGTTTGTAGGAAAATATGCATAATGTTCTCTTTTATTTCACAGATTATGGCCAAGTATGACGAGTATTTGGCATCCGAGTGCCTGGAGTGGGTCAAGTGCGTGACCAACGAAAACTTCAGCACATCTGGCGACCCCGAGAATTTTCATGCAGTACTCAAGGACGGACAAGTGTTGTGCAGGTGAAATTATGCTAATCCAATGCCTTTTGAAATTTATTGCGGCCCTGGGGCTTCGCAATTTAAATGGTATCGCGCGAAAAAAAAGAAAGAACGCGTAGGCAACTTATACTCAACCGAAACTTTGATACTCGATCACGCGGCTCTTGACAATCATGGCGTCTTTCATGTCATGAATTTATGGTACCGCGAGTTCAAGTTCGGTTCATTCCCGTATTCTTGTGAAATAATGTTCTTCGTTGCGCGAAACCGATCCACATTCCCCCGAAATCATGAAAATATTTCATTTGTGAAGGTTGGCCAACTTCTTGAAGCCTGGCTCAGTCAAGAAGATCAACAACACGACGATGGCCTTCAAGTGTATGGAGAACATCGGGGCCTTCTTGCAAGTCGCCGCTGGTTGCGGGGTTCCTTCCACCGAACTCTTCCAAACAGTTGATTTGTGGGAGCGTCAGAATTTGAACATGGTCGTCATCTGTTTGCAATCTCTCGGACGAAAGGTCAGTTAACTTTATATATTAATCCATTCAGTACGAATGAAGTGATCAAGGACTCAGTGCATGAGATTGCGTACGCTCCAACGCCATCTCGAAAGAAATGATCGTTG